ATCTATCTATCTATCTATCTATCTATCTATCTATATATCTATCTATCTATCTATCTAATCTTCCAGTAAAATATAGCTGCTGGAAGAAAGAGTTTTATATTTATTTTTCCTTGACATATATTTAACTCTCCAAATATTTTTTCTATTTAATCCATTATTACCCACTTAACTTTCCAAGCTGGATTCCTTCATCACAGCTGTAGTTTCAGAGATTTCCCCCACCTCCTGTCCTGTGTTATAAATCATAGCTAAATAGGAAGTCCCCTGGCAACAAATCATTACGTATTATTAAACATAGTATAACTCCTATAAAGTCTTATTGGTTTGAATGAATGCTTCAAAGGGTTTGCTGCTAGTATTTAAAGCTCTTTAATAATAATCTACATATGGAAGTGCCTTTTGCATCTATGTGTTCCTCACAGAAAACTGATCAGAGGGATTGGATTGAGACTGTCTGGAATTGCAGCAGAATATTGTGTGTGTATCTGTGTCTGCACAGGGGGAGGGTTGGTGAGGTGCTTTCTTTAAGGACTAGAGCCTCTGGCATTCTCTCGCCTATAAATCAGAGCACATTTTGAGAGAGACAGGTTGGGTGAGGTCATATCTTTTAGGAAGCTGGTCCAATAAAAGATATGACCTCACCCACCTTGTCTCTCTAATATCCTGAGACCAACATGGCTACAGCAACACTGCATAGAGTACACTTCGGGTATTTTTCTGGGTAGGACTGAAGAGGTTTTGTTTTCCATTCTAATTTTGCCACATGTGTGTTTGTTTTGGTGTGCGCAAGAGCTGCTATGGTCCAGAAGACTAAGCAGATGCTGGGAACCAGGACTCCTGGGTTCTTTTCCTGCTCTCTCTCACTGGCCTCGGGCAATTTGTTTAGCAGGGAGAATGATACTTTATCTGTCTCATGGGTGTGCTGGGGGGTTAAATAAATTAATGTTTGTAAAGTGCTTTGAGCTCAGCTGCAAGGGGACCCTGGCCAAGCAGAGAGAGTGAGAACCACTCTCCAGGCAGGGAGGCCTGGGTATGATCCTGCTCAAACAGGGAAGAGACTGGGAGACCAGAGGTGAGGTTAGGAAGTGGCCCAGCAAAAACTGCAATACATGTAAAGGAGCTGACTT